ATGCTTGAAGGCTGCTATGCATTCACGTGTTGATCGACGTGCGGCCGGATAGACATACCGAAAATCTGTCGCTACATCTTTCACGACCAATGCGACGCGAGCCCCATCGATGTCCATTTCTTCATCGTCACGAATCACGAGATGGTCAGCAGTCAAATGTTGTCCGAAATGGTCCGCCTCTACCTGGGTTGAACCACCCTTGCTATACGATGGACGTTTGGTCATCTTTGCCCTCGAGCAAGCTTGACAAAAGGGATTCTTCGGGGTATGAGTCAACAGACGCTGGACTGATTGCGCTTCTTCCTTAAGAGCTTTCTCTCCCCTATCCCTCTTCGGGTCCAACGGCTTCTCCACCAACCTTTCATCCACTGGTTCAGAATCATCTTCAACAGGATCTTCACCGATGGGATTGTCCTCATCGTCCTGGACCTCAATTGCCTCTTCAGCCGGCGACGCGGGCAGGGGAATCATTGGTCGCAGTCCCCTTGACCGTTCGCTCAAACCGTAAGGTTGACCTATGGCGGACATCGCAACACCAGTTGTTGATGGTAGGTATGGAACATAATCCTCTACTTCAAGTTTGACTTTGGTGCCATCTGGTTTCTTGAAGTATGGTCTGCTATAAGCGGGCCAATGGAAGCTCCATCCTGCATCGACGCAGCGTTGTCCTACCGACACGACGGCTGGGCTATTTTCCAAGACGTACGGATTGATGTCGGTTCCCAACACGGGGACATTGACTCTGGCTTGGTCAGTGGCTTGAAAAACTCCGTTGGCAGTAAGAAGACTGACCGGTTTGGACGACTGAGACACTTCATCCGAATGAAGCATGTGCCTAGACACAAGATCGTGCGCGCTCCCAGTATCAGCGATCCATGCAATCTCAGTGGCAGGCACTGTTGGACATAACCTCTTCTCAAAACACTTGATGCAACCTATATCGGAGTTGCACAGGTACGAACATTCCGCCGGCAAAGACAAAAGCTCGTTCCTAACAGCGTTCTGAAGGTGTGAGGCTGCAATGGATGCGTCTTCAGTAGCGACGCGAACTAACTCAGCGTGCTCTGGTCGACCTGGTGTAAAGGATCTTCGTTTCTTCTTACTTCGGGGTTGAACGGATCTCCAACTGGAAGAAGACTCAACAGCATGACTAAAAATGTTTGGTTGATCGTCAAAACGGACTCTTTGCGTAACAAAATTGTCAATGTTTTCTGTGTTGTCAAAATCGGTGCACATAGTGTTTGATGCGGAAAGGACCGGCATGGCCACGCTTCCCAGCGGGCGAGTGATGAGGACGGAGGATCCCTGAGAGACCACTGCGGCCATGACCACTGCACGTAGGAGGCATACCGCTGCCGGTGTATTGGAAGAAGAAGATTTCCCACCTTTCTTCCGCTGACTCTCTGAGCCAGTTGAGTTGTCGGAGCCTGACGTTCCTCGTGAGCTGCTTCGCTTCCGAGGTTTCTTATCTTTCTTTTTCTTCTTCTTCTTGTCCTCTTTCTTCGCAGGGACAGTCTTCTCAGGGTGTTGGAACGCACATTCTTTGCCTCGATGACAATGTCCTGCTTTCCAGAACTTGCAAGTCTCCTTGCGAGAACTTGGTGTCAATGATCTCGACCGAGACTGGCTGCGATCCTTGCCCTTTCCCTTTCCTTTGCTTTTGTCGCGGCCTTTTTCGTGCTTGTAAGGACATGATGATCCACGCTTGCATTTTCCGGTCTTCTGGAAGTCGAAACACACTCCCTTCTTGTCTTCTGGAGCAGGCATGGTGGTATCTTTGGCCCCGAGCGAACGCTTCGTAGCATCTCGCATCTTCTCAAGCCTCTTCCGTTCAAGATAGGCCCTTGCAGACGTGATCAGGAAGTCGTATGATCTTTCCTTGCTTCCATCTGCGGCACGGTCGTACAAGGCCAGGTCATGCTCAAGGGGTTTGAAGCGTTTCACTGCCAAGTGGAAGTAAGCTTCTAGAACACTGTTTTCTGGTTCTTTCTTCATACCAGCCAGAACACTGTCCCACTTATTGATAAATCCCTTGAGGTCATCGTTGACCATCTTGACGGACATAAGGTCTTCAAGACCATAGATCGCACCATGCTTGATGCTTGTGGCAAAATACTCGTGAAAGCGAAGAAGCAAATGTCGACCCTTCACATTCTTGTCTTCACGAGCACGCAGCTCCTTGAAGGTAGCAATCTGACGACCAAGGTCCCCCTCAGCGCAATTGGTCAAGCTTGCAAGAAGCTTTGCGTCAAGGGTGGCAAAACCTTCTGAATCATCCAAGGCATCAATGGTTTGGGAATCTTTGTACACCTTCCCAACCCAAGTCCTAGCTTCATCTGGTTTGGCTGAAGCCGCAGCAATGTTGTCCCTCACCTTGATCTTCCAATCTCTGTATTTCTCAGGCGTGGGAAACTTGGGTATGAGAATCTTGTCAGCCTCTTTGGCTTTGCTCTCACTATCCCTGTCCTTAGACTTTCTCTGCTGCTTCTTCAGTTCCTTGCGGATGATGCGTGCAAGACGCGATGATTCAGAACTTGAGTCATTGGAGTCATCACTCCCTCCTGATGGACTGGGTGACGAAGGTGATGGAGAAGGAGAGCGCTTCTTCCTGCGCCCCCTAGAGCGGCCCCTTTTTGGGCTCTTCTCCTTTTTCTTCTCCTTTTCCTTCTTCTTGTCTTTCTTAGACTTGTCATCACCCTCTTCATCAGCATCGGATGGATGAGGCTCTCCTCCGCCTTCGATCCCGGGCTTCTCCAACTGAGTGCGAAGGCTCGCCGGAGGCAAAGCTGGGGATGCCTGAGATCCAAGTGGCTGCAAAGATGGCGCAGGCACTCGGTTCCCCGAGGCGTTGTCAAACCTCTCTCTCAATTCCTTTATAATTCGACTCTGTTCCGCTAACTCTGACCGAAGTGCATCCTCTCTTTGCTTGGCAGAGGCGCGTTCGTTCTCAACGACGGCGTGTCGTTCGAGCAAAATGCGATCTAGGTAAGCCCGATGTTCATGAAGTTGTTGGTTTTGATGGGCTTGGTTCGTGTCACTCAAACGTTGATTGGCTTTGTTCCCTAGACTCTTGGACAGCCACCTTGGCTTGGTTTTCCACTAAGTCCCTAAAATGCCTAGCATCATCTGCCGCTTGTTGCCCATGCTCGGCCAAAATGGCCTGATGTCGCAATTCGGCAATCTGAGCAACCTGAGCTGACCTGTCCTCATTGACGAAAATCGCCTGTTGATGAAGTTGTCTCGCATCAACGTTCTGGACATTCATCACAGGAGAAAACTCATTCTGAAAAGGCGACGGAGCTTGAACACTAGGCAGCAGGTCCCCCTGTGCACTGAGCATCGGTGGCACAACTGGCGCACTCAACTCCAGCGGAACAACAGGGAGGTCAACAGCAGGTGAGCTGGACATCGCAGGCGACGTTGGAACATAGCCTGTGCGTGAGCGGTCACCACGGGAACTATCATCATCAGCCATGGCCTCTAGATAGTGCACTATCTACAGTGGGGTGAGACCACAGCTAGTAGTAAGCACGTACCGCACTTATGGCGATACGGCTGATAACCTGTAGTTACAGGTAAACGACCGAGAACTACCAACAAGTCGCACCTGGTTTTCCTTGAGCCAAACGGTAGGTAAGTGAGACATGTATTAGACATGCTAGCGTGAAACGACAAAACCCACGTTGCATTCGCAAGTGTCTCGTTCAAAATGATTGGAATTGGAATCCCACAAGCACCAAGTTCACCTGGGACCTGGTTTGCTCAAACATGGAGAGCTTACACTTTCTTGTGTAGCCATGCGTGGTCCAGGTTTCGGTCCGTTTTGGGGAATCCCTTCTGCTCCCCTTGATGTCCACCTCACTTTATTGCTGGAGCTAACTCGTGCTCCTCGTGCTCCGCAACATCTGTCCTCCAAAACGCTCGCTGGAATCTACTTAAGCCTCTAGAAGTGATTCATCCATCTTAATAGCGTGATCTGCAGGTTTGGATACACTTCTTGCGATGCCCGCTATGTTACCTGCGATGCCCCCTATGTTACCATCCCACTGCAAACCTCATCCTGGTGGCACAGGCAGCCACGGCTGCTCTGGTATTGGTCCACCACTCAGCATATCATGTCTGACTCCCGCAAGGCCGCAAGGCCAGCTGATGTGCGATAGAATAGGGAGCTCCGTCTCTCCTCTGGAATGCACTTGAAGAACTGAATGAGGTCTACCATGAAACACAATGCTCGCAGCCACGTGCCATCAACTCCCATCATCCACATGACTTTTTTCTGCACGCCTGACCTCCCACTGCACACTGGACCTCCTTTAAAAACAGCCGCTGCAAGCTCCACCTTCTCAGCTCTCATGTTGGTGAGAATGGCTTCCAAATTTTGAGCAGGTACAACTTTCCAACGTTGTTCCATTGACCCCTGTGCACATGCCACCACAACTCACGTCACCTCTCGCATGTAGCAGTCTCAATCTCAGCTTTATCTTCCACCGGCCCCTTTTCCACAAGGTGTTTGTAGCGTAACTTAGCCTCTTCGTGACCCTTGGAGGGCTCATGAGAATGGAGCATGACTTCACCGAGCGTGTGGTTGCCACTTCAACCGCAACGACATCCTTTAGCTGCACCTCCAATCTATATAGTTCAAAAGCAATCCTGGGTCTGCTTTCTCTGCCTCATCCATGCACGGCAAGGCCATGCAAGGCCATGGGGTGGTTGAGTGCTTGGAAGACGACCCAAATGGTCGCCGTCAACATGCCTTTGAGAAGTCTACCCAGACCATCACGACATCCTCCCACCGGGAGCCGAAAGCCATCAAACTCGTCATCCCAGACCGTCACGCGGGTGCCAAGCAGCGAAAGAAAACACGATCATTGTGGGAGCGCATGAGTGAAGCCCACATGAGAGGTGTTGGTGCTCAACCACCATGAATCCCCACTTGTGTAACAAAACTCAAGACACACCTCCTGCAGATTTGTGATGATTTGCAGGGGTCCAAAGGTTCCCTAAGTTGCTTCTATCCGCAATTTCGTGAGCCACACTGCTCCACCAAGCAGCGCTGAGGCCAGCAGGGCAGTGAGGCCATCGCTGGGGCGTGCAGCGTCCGGGTGCATGGGCCAGCGCAGCCATGTGCCCAGTGCCACGAGGTCATTCATCCTGCGGTCGCCGGTTCTGGGAAGGATGATCATGCGGTCGTCGATGGTTTCAGTTTCTTTCTGAGCAACCCATCCCAATGATTTTGGACCAAATTGGGAAGAGAACCACAGGTTCCAAGATTGTCTTAAAGCTGGTATATGATAGTTTGTGCAAAAGTTTTGCACAACTTGTCTTCCTGATATTTGGTTCATTCTTGTCTTCCAAACCATCCACGGAATGTACCCCTTGCACGATCTATATAAATGGCACAGGTGGTCATGAGAGGCCCGGTTCAGTGTAAAAACCTTGATGCGCAACTCATCTAGGTGTTGTTTTGTGCGTCCGGAGTTCAAAAAAGTTTTGCTCTTTGGGTTACTTCTACTTACTATTCGAGAAAACGACAGCTGGTGTATAGAAACATCCAGGCGGATTGCATGCTATTAGGTTTGGAGATCCACTTTGGAATACAAGCAACGTCTCTGTTGACACTGCTTGATTCAGAAAATGTTTGTATGCCTTTTCTGATTTGAACTGCCTCAGCTACAGGTCCAAGGTACGACCAAAAATGGAGCAGGCCAAGAGACTGGAAATGCATATAGTTAGAACAAATCCCGATGTGTGGATAAGTGGATCTTTAAAGTATTGCAACTCCTTTCAGGTCATCCCATTGCCCCATCCTCACACATTCAATGAGCTGATGCCCTGATTCAGTCTTGCATGGCTGGCAAATCAGCCTTGGGACCACAGAAAATCGTATGTTTGCTGCATCTCGGATGAGTGTTGGTACTTGCCCAAAATGTCTCTGGTCAAAGAAAGGTGTGAATGTCGCAGTGTCGGATTATGCACAGCTGCAGTGTCGGCCACTGCCAAGGTGCTGCAACTCTGCTTCATCCGCTTGGCAAATCTCTTGGATGATTCGGTCATCCTCAAGTATTGCGTGACCTCGTCGAGAAATGCTTACAGTAGGTCTAAAAATATCTTTGAGTGCTTGAGTGTGCAATGTTTCACAACTTGCATACGCCTTCACTGGGTCTTCCACCAAGAAGAACAGAACATTGGAAGAAATGCGCCCTGGTTTGATCAAATTGATGCGGATGTCCACCATTGAAATAAAACAATTCAACAAGAGCAGGGTCGGTCATCCAAACCTCCGGATGTCCGCCTTGAAGCAGCATCTGTGCGTAAGGTGGCGAGCCGCAAATTCGCGCCAGGCGCGTCTTCAGGACCTCCGTTTTCAGCACCCCGGAGTTGGTTTGAGGCGGGCTCTACAGAACCGGTCATGGGGCCACGTGACTTGAAAAAACACCGTGACTTTAAGCATGGAAGCCAGTGTGTAGTTGGAAGACTCTTGAAAAACGATGTCAGCAGCAAGTGTATCCATATGCATTGACGGTGAATCTACTCTTCACTCTTGAGAGCCAATCTTCATATGTACCAAATATTTTGTTGAAACGGGGGGGTAGGCCGTAGAGGTAGTAGCTAGAGTCCAGAGGTGGCTAGTAGAAGCTAGGGAGTCGCTAGTAAGTAGCTTAAGTAACTGACGCAGGACAGTTCACGCGTCTATTCATTTGGTTCCTAGATTTTTAGGGAAACTTAACTTAACGTAGTGAAGTGTGGAACCTGTCAGTCTTTGTTCCAACGTGCCAGTGCCATCTAAGCTGCTCTGATTGTCATGGTCTTGGGCACGCGCACCATGTTCTTTGTGCCACTGAGTTGTTGAACCTGGTGATGAGACAGCACCACACCCAGCAGTCCCAGGTGATTTGTGTCTTGACCAAGGCGTGAAACAGCGATGCTGCCGTGAATGGCAACAAGCAAACCTGGAGTGCGTTTGGCCTCATTCTATTCGTAACGTTACAGGGCTTACAACCCACAAGTTGCTGGCATGTAAAGTGGCAGCGTCTTCATCCTCAGCACGGTCGTGCACAAATGGTTGACATCGAAATAGCAACAGAATGTTGTGTCAGAATCTGAATTGTCCACCAAGCCCCAACTACACAGACTTGACGAGGATGATTATTGTCAAAAACCAGGGTAGTGGGGTTGCTGTGGGTCTATCCATCCAAGCAGGCTGGATCAGTACCAACAAACAGTGAGGAAAAGAATCATGTTTTTCATGATCAAATCTTTGCCCTTCCCAGAAATCAAACTAAGCACAAGCAGTCCAATTGATCCACTCAACAAAGCTAAGTTCGGGGCTTCCTCCTCGGAACCCTCCGCCATGGCGGAATAGGGCCGGCTTTGGGCCTAAACGCTCGCATGGCCAAGACCTTCACGGATTCACTGACTTTATGCTCTTACATGGAACACACAACCATTTCCTGGCTCTTCTCCAAACAAAAACATGGTCACATAAAGTCCATCCAATGACGCTTGAAACATTGATGATCGTGTTTCAACATGTCCGTTTCTGCAAACAAAATTGTCGCCAACAGAGTCAAGGGACAGTCAAAAGCACAACAAAATTCTGATATGAAAAGAATCAACCCAAACAGTGTAAAACATGATCAATCTGTGGTGAAAACAAACAGTGTTGTCATAAGAACTCATCGGTGCACTGTGTTGGTGTTGGATTGTAAAGATATGTGAGACGTTTATTTCAAAAAACAAGCCCTTTCAGTTTCAGGCACGGAAACTTGCTTGGACAAGATCTTGAAAAAACTGACCAGGCTGATGTCCAGCTCAAGAAAAGAGCCAGCAATTTGCTTGGCATGGAGATGTATCAATGTTTTTTGCCTCATGCTGCCCTTGCACACGTGAGCAAGAGACTTGAAAGACTCCAACAAGCACACCAACCAAACAAACAACTTCTTCACGCTAAGTATATTTCGGCCTGGACAAGCTTTGGCTCTTTCTGTCCTTGTCCCACGCATTAAACTTGAATGCGGTGCCGGAAAGATTCCACCACACGTTCCTGTCAGTCTTGAAGGCACAAACTGGACCAGAGCATCGAAGCATTCCAAGCACACCAGCAACCTCTACTGCCACCCAACAACAGCAGCAGACCAGCAGCAGCAAACCACCCACCAGCACAGCAACGGGAGCTGGACCTCTGGTCTGCCTCTGTCCGCGTTTGTACTGTCTCATCCCCCAACCAAGCAGCAGTCAAAGACGAAGATACGCCCTTCTGGTTAGCTTTCATCTTCTTCTTTCCACGACAGCAAAACATCGCTATCTTCCACACAGTGACAAGCAATGCCATCAGCCCATACAGCGCTAGCGCAGCAACACAGCTGCCCAACGGAGATGACATGGCTTTCGCACGTGCCCACACAGACAAACGGCTGCGGAAAAGTTCGGCGACGATTCTCCGAAAGGAAAACGAAAGAAGAAAAGAACCGATCATCTTGACTCGTTCTCTCTCCTGTGAACTTTGACAAAAGACAGTCTGACTGTTCAGATGTCTCTTTAAATCTCTTGGAGCAAGGTGGTCACTCAGACCGAGAAAAGACCTGTTGGTAAAGCAGAGGTAGCTCACCGATCTAGGTTCTCGAAGTCCTGGTCCCCTTGGTCAATGTCCAGGTCAATTTCTGTCATGACGTGCTGGTGTTCTTGTGCAGTCTCTGGAAGGTCAGACGGCATGTCTGGGTTCCCTCGAGCGGGGTGGGTGACTCTTGCATAGGGGCAGCCATGTTAGCGAGGTCCTCTAGCGTGACCGGATGTTGCCCCTGTTCAGGAATGCTGCCAAGCAGCTGTTTGGATGCTAGCCCCACGGACGGCCTGAGCTTTTTGGATTGGGCTTTCCCGGACTTGCCCTAGCTCCTGGTCTTCGTTTGATTGGATTGGTTCTGGCCGGCAGCAGCCCTTGGCTCGGTTGGAGGAACGCAAATAGGGCTGCAAGTTGGGCGGCCATGGCTCCGCAGATGGTGTCAAAGTCTTCCTTGGTGTGCCTAACTACCTCCCGGGGCAAATGTTGGAAGTCCACTCCTCTGAAGCTCAGTTCCGCGAGCCGTCTGTTGAGTGTGACTCGCAGGAGAGCACTGACATGGCGCATGTAGACACTGATGCGTGCAAGAGGCCATTCTATGGGTAGATTGGCATACACAGCAACAGGGGGCGCCAAGGGCGGCAGGATCTGCTCGGTAGCTTGGTCCCAGTCCAAGTTCATGGACATGTAGGCGGTCACGCCCTTTTGCTTGCCATTGCTCTGGTTGCGCACGCGGCCCTCCTGGTTTGAGGCGCGCGCGAGCGGCACGCAACTCACACACACAGGTGAAAAGGAGGTTTCCCAGTTCACGATAAAATTGCAGGTGGCCATACAAACATCTCTTCCTTCCAGTCGGCATTCGAGCTCGCTGCCGTCCCAGTGAGGTCTCCATGCGTGCCTTGTGCCCAGTACACACCATCCATAGGGCCGGTGGAGTGCATTCCTCAAAGAACTGGTGAGCACATGCTTTGCAGGGCTGTCTCACATAGATGAAGTTGGCCGTTATCCAACTCAATGCCAGCAGCCTCCCATGCTTGCTAAAAGCGCTGGTTTCAAGGCCTGCTGCTTTCCCACTTTCAGTTTTGGGCGAGCGTCTTGTCCTGCTCGGCCTTCAGCTTCTGAAGTTCTCGATGCAAGACTTGGTCCCCCTGCAGCCCAGCTCGATCCTTGGTGTAGGATCTAACTGGGGCCTGACTGTACATCAAGCCGAGGTAGCCAGAACCTCGACCGCTGGGTGAGGACAAACAAAGACCAGAAGTCGACCCCCAGGAAAGGTGAAGATGAGACAAACAGCCCATGTCCATATGAGGAGCATGTCCCTCCAATACTTTCGCTGGTCTTCCAGAGACACCAAACCTTGCAGGTGCATGTGAATATGGGCTCCTTGATGGAAATCTGTGAAAACACAGTAGCAACGCGCCCTTTTCGGTCCCGCTCCTTGAGCCAAAGTTACAGTCATTTATAGACTGTCTTCAAATGTCCTCTTAGCTTCTTAGAAGCACTTCCACTCTTCTTGAAAGAGTACATGACTGTACCTAGTCATCTCCAAACTACACAAACTGCAAGGAAACTACATCAAACAGTCTCTAAAGACATCGTGCTCTACCAAAAGGTTCTCTAAGCAGTTCCTAGCCACAAGTTGCCACTTCAAACATCCTCCTGCTAAGGTGGTCAAAGGTCAAACACAAAGAGGGCACAGACCTCAACTCAGCTCCAACCCCAAGCACTCCAAAAACGAAAATTCCCTAAAGAAGCAAGCACTAGGTGAGCCATACGCTGTACACGTGCGCTGTACGCTACTTTTCACACCCCTTCTTGGGTCGCCTAGGGCTACCTACCTTCTTCTTCTGTCTTCTTCTCTTCTTCTGTTCGTTTTGTTGGAGCAACTAAGGATCAGACATCAACTAAGATCCAAACTTCTGCCCTCAAAGGTGATCTCAATGACATCAATCCAGAGGTAAACTCGAGCTCAACCCAAGCAAAACTCCAGATCCATCAATGAATCAACTTCGACCTTCAACCAACACGCATTCAACCAAGGACAAACGCGCACGAAGGATCTCTCAGAGGTGGGTCATGGAATCTCATGGGTTGATTCCTTATTTCATTGACCCTTTTAAACCTCATCATCGAGATCCTCAAAAGCACAAGGCTTTCAAGGACAACTTACCTGTCAGCTCAGGAAGCAAAAGGTGATCTAGAGTGACCATGCCGTGCAAACCTCTGACCTCAAAACCTGACAAGTTCACAAAGTTGACATCAACTGCAAAAGATGAAAACTCCCAAGGTTACCTAGACACAAACTTGCAATGAACATAGTTGCTAACGAGCGCAAGTGAACTCGCAAGAAACTCGCTGGAAGCTACACCTGCGATGAACGAAGCTCCAAGCAACTGCACAAGACACCACAAGAAACTCTCTCTAGAGGTTACCTGGTCATGAACTGGGTTCCAAACATCCTGAATCAAGTTAACTCGTCTTGCCACAGCAAACTCAAACTCAAAATCACAAACCCTTTGCCACACTGCACGTGTCTAATTCCACCTGCCTTTCTGATCTGCTTTTCTCTTTCTGTTTACTTTCTTCCTCTTGCTTCCTCTTGCTTCCTCTTGCTTCCTCTTGCTTTCTCTAGACACGATAAAATCTTCAAACATGAACTCCCCAAGCAACAAGCAAGCAAGACACGAACAAAATGGCCTCCAAATCATATTTCCATAGATTCAACCTGACATCACACGTTCAAGCATGCCTCAAGCCAAGGTCAAGCCAAGTTCAAGCATGGTGGCACATGATGTTCTGAAAACACAAGGAAACACTAACAAGGATGATCTCCTTTTTCTTTTTCCGTGGTGCTTGTCGTGGATGCTTAGATGGCAGCAGGCCCTTCAATTTTTCTAAAAACAGGCTCTTGAAAGCTGCCAAACTCTCAATCCTCAGAGCCATCTAGATAGATGGGTCCTCAGGGATCCAAGATTCCGGCGCTGTCAAATATTTCCCATCGGCCAGCTTCATCCTCTTAAAGCCGGGAGCTACAGGAGGCTCTGCAGCGAGCTTGCAACTCTTCGTGAGACCGTCGGACGGGTTGGAAACACCTTCCCAATGTTCCAAGGTCAAGCGGCGTCGTCGATGGAGGTATTTGACGTAGTGTGCACGCAGTTCCATGTGCTTGACACGTCGGAGCAAACCTTCCATGGTCGATATGGAAATCGCCGCTTTCCCATCGTTATACAGGTGAAGCTTCATGCTGCCGGTGGTCTTGGCTGGCATGCCTATCTCGTCAAGAGGAATCCCATCGCGAGCTGTCTCGATCAGCATCCCCAGAGCCACAAGTTCTTTGCTAGCCTCCGTGACGGCGATCGCGGCCGCCTGAGGACAATACGTAAGCGTGCCGCCCGTGGTCAGCAGGCGAAACAATGCGTGCAGACTGACCCACTCGACAGCGATCCCACCCCACCTGTGACCCCCAAACCCGAAGGAATGGGAAGAGACAGGTGGAGGCCCAGGTCACCCCGGGCACCGTGACCACTGGAGGACTGGCATTCGTCACGGAGGAACCGACGGTCTGATCCGTGTGGAGCTTGGCTTGCCCTCACACG